CGCCAGAAGCGGTGGTGGAGGTGGTGGCCGGCGATGGAGGACATGGTGGGGTGGATGGGGGAGGAAAAAGAAGAAAAGTTGAAGGGAAAGTTTTTTGTGTATTATTTTGAAGTGTAGGTTAAAAACTTTGATAAGTTTTTTGGGGGTTCCTGTAGCAAAAGTTGTTAAAAAACTAGTATTATACAAAATTGCTAAAAACTTGAGGTTCTAAACAGGCCCTAAATTTAGCTTAACTTAGCTTAGAGGATAGGAGAAAGAGTTCTTTCTTACTGTCAGATTCATGGTTCGAGTTCAAGTTAAGGAAAGATCGATTTTACTACAATGCTACTCTTAGACCAACTCTTACTCTCCAAGTTACTAACTCAAATTTCAAATAGTTTCACGTTCTTTAAAAAGATTAAGGAAGTGTCGGGCGAATTGAGTATCACAGTTAATGATACCCATTCCTATAATTTAGTAAATCACTTATAACTTGGGTTTTAAAATATATTAAATCTTTAATAGAATGAAACATGATCCACTCCCGAATCAAATACGTAAGGTTCAATGAACAAAACTTGTAGTCATAGTGGGACTTGTAATTCCAAATTCGATTCTGATTCTAGAACATGAACCAAACACATCCTATGTTCCTTTTAACAGATTATGCACCCTGAATTATTCGACGAATAATTGAAGGGCATTGTAGCTGCGACTGAGGCTAAACCTAAGATTCTTGGGTCTCGCTACTAGTCTGCCTAGAACAGTTGATGAAAATTTTGGAGTTGCCTGATAGCGATGATGGTAATTGTAATTAGTGGGCGTGAAACTGTTGAGACGGGCATGGTATTGCTGCTGTGTTGTTGAGGATGAATTCCAAATGCAATAGGTTGACTACAATTTGGGTTTGGGTTTTCATCTAAGTTCAAAAGGAAAGAGTAGTGAGTCCTCGTACCATAACAGCGTTTTGCAATGCTTTGACGTCCTATTTGAAACTTTCGAACTTGATCATCAGTTTCATAGTATCTGTTAGTTAAGGTTTATTATTTAATGTTACAAGCGGTCGATCCCACAATTTCATTTCATTTGTTTGTAAGAGTCTTAGTCAATCTTTTGCAAGGACATGCAATGTATTATACGTACTTAGTACTATATAATAATATATACATACATACATATATATATATATATTGGTAATAAAGAGATGGGATGAGGACAGACAAATACTACATGGGTATGCATGACAATCATCAGTTTCTCAATCATTAAATTATTCATCTGCCCCTTTGACCTTCAACATGCAAACACAAATATACAGTAAGACTGACGAAGATAGCGTCCCAGAATACCTTTGGAGGGTATCCAGCAACAGAATCCTTTGTAATTGGGCCTCGTAAACAACTAAACTGCACGATTAACAGACCAATCCCCATCTCCATCCCTGTATCTGTTCCTGTTGGAAGGGAAAAACAGTCCATACAACATTTGATTGTTTATGGAAAGTAGGCACGCTGTATTTTCCAGTAAGGTGCCGGTCATATGAAAGCAGAAGTCGACATCCTGCCCCCCAGCCCAATCGTCCTTCCTTTTTCCTTTTTATCTTCGTCAAAATTGAAAGCGCACAGAAGCATAGCAGCCGCCAAGTGGTCCCGCCCTGGTCATATGATAATAATAGTCCAATTTATGGGCAGCCCCCACCCTGAACGGCGTTCCTAAATTGCAATACCACGCGTGTGTTGGGATGGGAGATCTTTTTTTTTCTTACGAGAGCCAAGAACTCACATACACAATTAGATTAAACACTCGGAGAGTCATCAAAGATCGGTCCAGACGGCCCAAACGCACACAATTAGATTAAACGCGTGTGTTGGGATGGGAGATCATTTGCAATAATTTTTTGAAAAAAAAAAATTACTATATAGCACTTTTTCATGTGATGTATGTAAGATAAAGAGATGATCGAAAAATATGTTTACGATGTAATAAAATAAAATTGTTCAAATAATAAACAATTCGAACAAACCCTACATTTCTAAGTCTTAAATTGTTACCCTATAAAAATATAGACATCAGATAGGTCCTAAATTTATGTAATTACATGATTGTGTTCTTGATTTATCAATATTTTTTTACTCCGCATTCGGATTCGATTAACCTCTAACAAACAAGTGGATTTGGCACATATGCTAATTGTAAAATTGCAAGACTAAGGGGTTTGAATTAATTGGTTTCCCTCTTTTTCTCCATGCACTATAATTCCATTCTTGTGTCCAAAGATATAACATTGGAAGTGTTTGGATAGCAAATTATTTCAAATAATATTTCGCTTGCATCATAAACATATTTTTCAATCTACCTTTTTATATTTTCAATCACTTTTTTATTTACATACATCACATCATAAAAAGTACTACAGTAATTATTTCAAATAATACCACTCTATCCAAATATTACCTCTCGATAACATCATTAATTAATTGCTTAAACCTGGATACAGAGTTCAAATTTTCATACTATGATCATGATCTTACCACATGATGGCTTCTAATAGTTTCGTGTGGTTTTTTTTATCTCTAGGCGGAGGCGTCTTCTGGCATCTGGACTTTGCGTTAACTGAACAAAAATGCTCAATACAATCGCGATCGCTCATCAGTCAATGTGTTGCTGTCATTCTCTTTTTTTTTTTTTTTTCCTTTTTTTTACTGAAACGATAAGGTGTTGCTATCATTCATTGCACCCCGTTTTCGTGTCAATTGAATCAACAGTCATACAAAAGGAAAAAGATAAAATGCTCGGAACATTATTGAATTTGGATTGGTGAGTTTCTGTAAAAAATAAAAATTTTCTATCACCTTTTTTTTAACCTCACATATTTTACATTGCTATAATAAATTTTTGGGAAAATGACTTGTTTCATTCCTCACATTTCACAAAAATATTCTTTTCGTCCCTCACTTTTAAAATGAAGCAAATTCGTCCCTGACATTTAAAAATTAAAGCTATTACATCCCTGAACCTAATTTTCAATCTGAATCAAACCATCAAACCATCCAATAACCCAATAATAAATTTCAAAAATAGAATTGATAGATCATTCGGTCAACTTCATCGTATTCACATGACATTTATTAAACCAAAAAAATAAAAATTATAACATAAAAGGCCATTCTTTGTCTTGGAATAGTAGAGTTTTTTTTTCATAAATCTTTTCATGCATCATTAGTATATCCGCTTGCGAATTTAGATGTGTATCATAAATATAAAATTTGGTATTTAAATTTAAATTAAAATGATATGACGGTACATAAAACCGTCAGTGTATACAATGATAATGTAGAAAAGATTAATCTTTCTTTTTTATATTATAATTTTTTCTTTTTTCTTTTTAGGTTCATTAAAATTTACATGAATATCAAATTAAGTTAACCAAGTGATCTACTAATTTCACCCCCAAAATTTGTAATCAGGTTGATTGGTGGTTTGATTCAGATTGAAATTTGGGTTCAGGGATGTAATAATTTTAGTTTTTAAATGTCAAGGACGAAATTACTTCATTTCAAAAGTGAAGGATGAAACCGATCATTTTCCCTAAATTTTTCTACAAAAACTCGAAATATTTACAATCTAAAGTAGCATTTATTGCTAGAACTATATCTTAGTTCGTGGATCAACATTTATTGGCCAATGGATGTTAGTTCATTTAGTTAGCATAGACAGTTTTTTCACAGGAGATCGTGTATTCGAGTTCTACTATCAATATCAACATGAGAGCCATATTTGCGAATTCTACTGTCACTATAGGAGTGGTGTTGATTGATCTATGTAAACGATTGATAGTTCTAGAGCTTTACTTAAGACCAATTTAACTTTTTGTTACAAAAGGACAAAAAAAAAAAAAAATCTCCGTTCATGGGCACAACTGTACAAGTACTTGGTTACAAATTAATATTATCATGCCGGTTTGCACTGGTCGAGTTCTTTCTTTTGTTAGTATTTTCTTTTTAGGTGGTATTATACATTTTATGCTGCTAATTAATTACCGCTGTAATTTTCAAGGGCAAAACATGCGTACCTAACTTTAACTGTTACAAGACAGCAAGTCTCCTACAAAAAAGGTTTTTGTAGCATATTTCCAATTTATTCGAGGTGCTTTTCTATGATCACAAGATTGTTGGATCATCTTCCAGAAGAGTGTATAAGCTTGGACATGCTACGTGTGTTGAATATTAAAAAGATTACGCCCCATATTTTTGTTTTCTGTACGACTGTATCCCCATCTACATACATACCAGTGTGGGTTAGTAAAGCGATTATATCGCTATAATTTAAAGAGATAAAGTGATAATACTATAAAATAAAAGGATATTCTGTTAAAAATTTATTAATGTATTGAGTTGAATTATATATGGAGTGAAGTGACTAAAAGATAACATTATGGGATAAATTGATAATAGTAATATGGTTTAAGAAGATAAAGTGATAATAACCCTAAATTAAATGTGACTTAAGTATTAGCTGTTGAGATTTAACAGGTTAGAGATTAAAGGTTTAGGCCACAAAGGATGGCTAAACTTGGGGCAACCAACCCTCAAGTATAGGTATAGGGACCATGGAATTTGATTAAGAAATTAATCGGGCAAGGAAAAACGAGGGAGTTTAATTTAATTGCACAAGTACTTTTACCAAGAAATGGGTGAGCAGTAGACCCACCAAACAGGAGGACCCACGTGAAGAGGTGTGTTGCCATTGGACCAAGGCCTGTCCTGAAAAGGTTACTATAATAAGCGGAGCGACGTGTTGTCGGCAGATTATACGTCGAGACTTCATTTCACGGTACGATGATGATGACGTGTTTTACAAAACTTGGTACTACGAGCACGTAAATCAATAAATGGTCGTCCCCGATCCCCACCCCCACCACTGGGTAAGTCCAGTCCAAACGCTCTCTCTATTCTCTAATTAGTTAGTACTTAATGCTAGTATTAAACTTACTTTCTTTTTATGTTCTTGAGCTTTTCGGATGGGTCTGGAAAAGCTTTCTGTCTATAATGGATACCTTCTATTTTCCCTGTACCAACTCCTCCTTTACCGTTTCTTTCCTAAGTTTACCAAAACAAGTTAAAATGCGTTTCCCCCAGTCTTATTTACTACCTTATTTAGTTCACTTTTTTGGGTGCTTTTCCTCTTTTGTGGGTTGAAGGGAGAGGACCTGGCCTGGCCTTTGCAAAGAAGAGAAGGACAAACAGAATAAGCAAAATTACTAATACGATCAACAACTAAACCTTATTGTCTTCTGTGGTCTGAAAATAAAGAGCTTGCTACATCAACCATCAGAAGATCCTTCATGTCCTTTTTCTTCTTCTTCTTCTTCTTCTTCTTCAGCTTGCCTATTTAGAGTCCTTGGCTTATTATTATTTAGTTATTCTGCAAAGCGACTAGCATTGACCCTCCCAACTCATTTCTAAACTCTTTCCAGAAAATTACTTTTCCATAATTTTCTAGGCTTCAATTCTATGCTTGTGGGAGATTTGGGCTCTCATACAACTTGCAGGTGATTTAATTTTTTTTTCATTCCTTTTTTCTTTGGGGAAAACTACCCACCTTCTTTTTCCTTTTGATGTTCCTTGATTCCAGTGACTTGTCTTGACTAGGGTTTTCATTTTTATACCATTCTTCTAGAAATTCTGCTGTATTATACCTATACGAGTATACGCCTTTGAGCTCTTTCTAATGCAAAATTTCTAGGAATTTATTGTATTCTCGTTGATGTCAAAATTTTGGGATGCAAATTTCTAGAAAACTCTACCTCAGGATAGTTCTGGGAGCAATCCTTACCATCAGCTTAAGTTTTTTGAATCAGCTAGTTCAAGAGCAGCCTGGTGATGACCTTTTCCTCCTTCCTCCCCCGCCCCCACCCCCCAAAAAAACACCCCAAAAACATCCTTTTGGGGTATATTGGTGTTTCATTGTATTAATCTTATTCTTGATATCCACTTTAGGAGGTTTTTATGCTCACCAACTAGTGTTTGATGTCTTACCAACTGAAGTTATATCTATGTATGACCAGAAAAATGGTGAGAGGGAAGATTCAGATGAGAAGGATTGAGAATGCAACGAGCAGGCAGGTGACCTTCTCAAAGAGGAGAAATGGGCTTCTGAAGAAGGCGTACGAGCTATCAGTTCTGTGCGATGCTGAAGTTGCTTTGATAATTTTCTCACAAAAAGGGAAGCTCTATGAGTTCTCAAGCTCCAAGTAAGTTTTCCTGTAATGATCCTTGAAAAAAAGAAGTGTTTTAATCTTATGCAGTACATTTTGATGCGACCTAACAAATTTTCAGATAATTAATTTTTGTAGTACTAATATTTTGCTTATTCCAATGTGCACTTTCTACACTTTTGCCTCTTATTTGAATTCTTTATAGCGCCAAGGCATGGCTTTGTCTGCTTTGAGAAGCTTTAAGTACGATGACACCAGTGATTTGAATTAAGCATCAAGTCCTTTTCTATCTCATCTCCTGGCGTGAAATGATTTTACCTTCAGATTTGGTTATGAATTTATGATAGCCAAGACTTCTCCAATTCTTGAAAGAAGATTACGTACTTCATCTTCTGTAGACTCCCCATCTTTTGTGATGCTCGTGCTCACTTGTACTTCCTAATTATTGTGAGGAAGAAAGAGAAGAAAAATCCTATCTGTTCCTGCACAAAATTTGTCTTCTTGTACTCTCCTGAGTCCTGATTAGATATGGTTGATGAAGAATCAATTAATGAAGATTTCTTCTTTCATAAACAGTTGTTTGCTGAGAAACTTTTCAACATCCTGTGCGTATTGATAAGGATGCTATGTTACTGCCAATTGTGGGTTCAGAATCTTATGCTAATGGGGTTAGGGAGGGGGTGGGGCGGGGGTTGGTTATCTTTATCGAATGAAGCTTGAACCTGATCGAGCTGACAATCCAGTTTCTCTAAAGATCCATTGGAAGCAATAGTCATTAAGCTCCTTGTGCCTTATTATCTTTTGCGACATAAATGCCAATTTGAACTGATGCATGAATTGACGTTGACCTTGTTCACCTTCCACATTTTCTTTTAATGCAGACTGGTGCATGAAAATGTCTCTTTCTCCAGACCCTCATCTTCCTTGAATCATCGTACTCTAACCTTTCCTGAAGTTTAGCTGTATATGTTTGCTTGAATTAAGAAACTTTTGCTTGAAGTTTAGCTGTATATGTTTGCTTGAATTAAGAGACTTTTGGAAGTAACAGAAAGATTTCTGTTGTGACCAATCCTTGAAAAAGTAATGTAGATGATTACATTGATTCTTCATTGGAGTTTCTGTAATTGTAATAAGTTCCACCTGTTCCAATGTGCCGTGCTCTATCTTCTGCACAACAAATCTCTTCCACCAAGACCATCCAAATTATAAAGACATTTGCTTTCATGATACTAGTAGGTAAATAAATAACAGTAGGTTAAAAGAAAAAACGGTTAGGGTCAAAGTTTGCACCTCACAGAATATAACAAGAAGCTAGCCAGCTACAAATTACAATTATCCATGGATAAGAAAAAAATAGTTGTTCTTTTAGGATGTGAAGAGGATGAGGTGTGGAGCATAACAGTGTCAAAGAGTAAGTAGTCAACAGCTCCACGAACAGTACACTTGATTCAATCTGAAGAATGTTCCTGGTCATAAGCTGCATCAGATTGTCTGTAGTGCATGTTTAAGTCGTATCTCACTTCCATTTGTGCGTAAATTCTTGTTATATTTGCACATCTTGTGGTTTGGAACGAAACAAACTGCTTGATATGCACCAAGTAGGAAGTAAAAGGACGAGTTAAAGTACGTTGACAGGCATGCAGTGCTGTTTACATAAAGGGGCCTTGAGTTGTTGTACAGACCAGGATTCAATTCCTAATAACCTATTTTGATTAAGACATCAGAAGAAATGAGATGCGGCACGACCTTAGGCCAAAGATTACGCTAGGCTATCCTTTAATTTACTCATAGTCCTTCCCCTTCAATTGATGCGTTAGGATACTTGGTAGCTAATTTATCTTTCATTTGGTACTAAAATTTATCTTTCGAAACACCAAGTACCTTTAGTGTTCATGCTACAATGTAAAACCATAAGGAATTTTCTCCGTTTTGATGACGTGCTTGTGGGAGGAGGTACATAACCAAAGGGCTGCCTTTTTCTTCAAACGTAGTTATGGATGGCTTTGGTATCACCAAACAATTTCTTAATAAGGGGCAATGAGTGAAGGTCAATTATTCATATTTTGTTGAAGGCCGTAACGAAGTTGATATGGAGAGTCAAGCTAAAGGGGGTTACCACAAATTAATTAAAAAATGAAAGAGAAGAAAGGATTATTATTTTTAAGACTCACCTTAACTAGTAGGAATATTAGTCAAATACATAACTATGAAGTTTCTAGTCCTTCTTAAGCACTCGTAAAATTTGGAGTTTCCCCTTGAACTAAAGACAAAGAATCATTATTTACTCCCAACTAGCATAGTTGTTAAACTCTCGTAAGATTTAGTCTCTCCCTTTAAGCCAAAACGAAAGGATCATTATGTTCTCTTAACTTGCAGAATCATACGTGTTATTAATGGGGGGATTTTAATTGCAAATTGAAACTGTCCCATGTGATCTATTTGTATCACGATGACTGAAGACATCAAAAATTTTCTTGTTTGTTGTGGAGGAGTTTTATTGGCGCTTAAATCAATTTCAATAGCGTACGGTTAAGTATGTCCGATGCCAAGTTGCTTAACATGGTATGCGCAGAGTTGATCTAGTCCGTGCTTGTACCAAATTGATAGAACTATGAAGTGTCATGCATGATGATAACCTTAGAATATGCTCCAAGATAATTTTGCAACTCTTAAGAGGGTGTAATAAAGATGAAAGTTTGATTTGAGAACTAATAGTGTCTATCTTATCTTTTCTTGTTGTACTTCATTAATTCCTTAATGATTATGTTCGTGCAACCCTTCAATATTCTGGGCTTGTTCTAAACAGTATATGGAAAGATATAAGCAAGTCTTTTGAAATTGAAAGAGACTTTGTTGAAAGCATTGAAAACATCCTGTTGATTTTCAGGTTTAGGAAAACTAAAATTCTTATTAAAAGCAACTTTAGGTCTACACTTTTGATATAGTTTTTTTCAATCAAAAAGGAAAATCTCGTTTTTACCTTATTACAAAATGTCGAGAAGAAGCCCTTTGCATGCCTCCTCCTTCATGCAAACCATGCATGATCTTAAATTGAGATTAGGTCACCTTCTGTGGTGGGCTATGTGATGGCCTGAGACTATAGTTCTATATGTTTGAAATGATTTGCATTTTCCATAATGACTATTTGTGAATGACTTCTTTTTTTTTATCGTGTAGCATGCAAAAGACAATCGATAAATATCGTGGCTGTGTGAAGGAAGATCAAAGAAGCGACCAAGACATTGAGAAATATGTACAGGTTAGACATCCTCTATAGTTTAGCTAAAATCATTATAATAAAAAGGTGAAAATAGTTATACGCGGTGAAAGAATTATGCTTATGTTTGACTATATCTAGTTCGTAAGTTGATTCCACAAGAATATCTAGAACAAGTCAAATGGCTTTACCTTTTGCATAATTATTTCTATTTTATAATCTATTGAGCCAAATTACGATTCCAAAGCCACCAATTGAGAATTAAAATTTAGGATTAATCTTATATATATTGTTAGTGTAAACACTATCACGGTTGGATGGATGACACGTGTGCAAAATTTAAATTTGAAATTCAAAATTTATTCATGTGCCATCCATCTAACCATAATAGTGTATATAAAATTTACTCATAAATTTAAATTTAACTTGATTAATATGCAGAAAAACATGAAATCCTGTAGCTTGATTAATTTCCATTTTGGTAATTGGTTGCACTCGCAGGAGCTGAAGCTGGAAGCTATAAACATGGCAAATACGATAGAATTCCTTGAAGCTTCTCAACGGTTCTTGACTCACTGCTACTTTCCTGCCAAATGTAGAATCTTTGTTAGTACATTGGGTTTTATTTTATTCTTGAATTTTGGGGTGTTCTAGGAAGCTTTTGGGGCAAGATCTAGGATCAAGTTCACTAGAGGAACTTCAACAGATTGACAGCCAGCTCGAGAGAAGTCTAACGAACGTCCGGGCAAGGAAGGTAAAACTGTTCTAGGAAAAAGTGCATTGGATAGGCTGTTCTAGGTGCTGGTGCTTTGTACTTGACCCGAAAAAATTGTCAAACATTTGAAAGTGGACATGATAAAACTGTTGTTAGAGAGATTTCAGTTCTTTCATCAGTTTCGTTGGATGAGAGTTGATGATCTTAACTTTTGAACAAAAATTTGCTTCACTAATTGCAGACTCAGCTATTCAAGGAAGAAATAGAGCGGCTAAGAGCAAAGGTATGATGATAGAACTGCATTTTTGTCGTCGTTGGTAATTGGAACTGCTTCACTTCTTCTTCTTTTTTTCTCATTGTAATATTCCGACTACTGCTCTTAGGAGATGCTTTTGTTGGAAGAGAATGCAAGGTTATCTCAAAAGGTAAATTCTTGTGGCTTGCAGTTCATACAGTTGCCAGGACTACAAGAAATTATGCAATCATTGCATGTTTAATATCCGGCCACCTAATTCTCGAATCTTATACTACTACTATTTGATGGGAATTTCCCACTTAGCAGCAGGTCCCCCCTATAGGTACATTTGTCCCACATCGGGGTTGGGGTTGGATTTGGGTTGGGATATAAGTCCCTGGGATTGCCTCAAGAGTTGCCGGCTTTTGAGGTTAATTCTGGGATTAGGTTTATAAAACAACAAAAGTCTGATTCAGGCTGTTGAAAAAAGAAGTGCTCATGAATAGTATATGGGTGTTCTGTTAAAGCCTGTATATTACCCTTTTCATTTTTCTTTTTCTTTATTTTCCATCTATTTGTTCTTCTTCTTTTCTTTTTCCTGTTCTTTCTTGTTTTCCTTAAACCCTAGCACTTCTTTCTATTGGTGTCTTTAGTTGAGAAAGGATGATGAAATTACAGGTATACTGAGGAGAATAAGCTGTCAGATGTCGGAAACCTTTTCTCTAACTAATTATGCCATATTCTTCTATATCTGTGGTAGTAGCGGCAAGCCAGCAAGTTAAATGAGTTCCAGTTTGGGTGTGCCTCTTCACGTAGTTATCCTGTATTTCCTTCAAGAACTAAACCGGGAGAGATAAGGACTTCTCTTTTTCTTTTACTTTTTGGCGCTAATGCAATCTTCTTTTTTTTTTTTTTTTTTTGCCCTTTTTTGGGCAATAGTGTGGACTCGAGTCGTGGCATGCACCAGCAAAGCGGAAAGAAATTGGAAGTTGCAGCCAAAGTACTCAAAGCTCAGAGGTGGAGACTGGGTTGTTTATCGGCCTTCCTGAAACTCGAGTCTTAGAGTATCGACGCTTTTGATGATTTTTCTCATCTTCTAAATGCACATATTTATCATATCCTTGATCTAGAAGTAGCTATGTTATTCTAGTTATTGTCTCAGGAATAAAACATAATATCTTATGGCTTCAAAATAATACACATATAATTGTAGTTTGACACTTGATTATGTATTATGCAAGTGCTTTGTTGTAAATATCACATTTGTCCATTGCTTTTGATGTGGAAAGTAAATGGGTAGAAAGTTAAATGGATAGAAAGCTCAATGATTCTGGTGCCTTGAACTTGAACCGGGATTAGAATATGAACCGAATTTTGTTCTAAGTTTTATGTCGTCTTCTTTTTGCTTTTGTTAATAGGTGCGCATTAAATTGTTATAGTAGAATAAGCTGTTTGGAATCAGAAGTAACATTGACTGCACGAAAAATTACCATTTTTCCTGATTTCTTAGTGGATTCTCTTTTTTCGTCTCTAATCTACAGGAAATTCTCTCCATCCCAACCCCCCCCCCCTCTTTTTTGGGGGATGAGAGGAATGATTTAGTAGTTACTATGGCGAGATGCAGATTTTGTGTTGTCCTCCGCTATGGTTTGTGACTTTTATATGAATGTTAATGGCTCAAGTGATTTTGTAAACTTGTCGATTGAAGGAAAAAAAAAGAGGCAATGGAGTGTAATAATCGCAAAAGCAAATATGCCATGCTATATCTTTGGCTGATATTTAGGACCTAACGGGATTCTTTGGGTTGAAAATCCCCTTCTTCTTTTTTTTTTTTCCTTTTGGGTAGCAATTCTTGGCTCGAAACTTGGACGGTGGAATCATGCAATTCTGACGCCAAAATCATGTTAAGCTGCAATTCCAGTAGAGTTCTGGAATCTAATTAAAGAAATCTAGATTTCTGATGCCATATTCTTCTATATCGGTTTCTACCATAGGTTTATACCTGGGAATTAGGCGGGTTGGGCGGGTTTTGGACGGGTTAATATTGGGTTTTCACTTAAATGAATTATATCCAATCCGCCCAACTTTAGATTGAGTTGATTTTGGGTTGGATCATATTAGGTTATCTCAAGCCCATGACCCAAATATGACCCAACAAATTAATTAATATATTTTAATACATAAACTTTTTCACGTACATTTTAACACACAAAAAAGATTTTTTTGCCCAATATAAACACATTTTCACATACATAAATGTATTTTCACACACACAAACACACACTCACTTCTTAAGTTCCTTGGAAACACATCATAAATAGAATAATATTTTATATTGCTTGTATTGTGAATTTTAGATAATAAATTATACATTTAAATAGATTAGCTAAAAAATTGTTTACTTTGTACTTTTTTAATACTACTAATTGATTGAAACTTATTTTTGTCACAACTTATTAACATTTTTACTATTCATATCTGTTTTATTGTAAATTGTAATATTCTATGTATATAAATTATTGAATGCTAGATTATATTATACTTGAAAATGTAAGTAAGAGACATATTATTTGTTGTATAATAATTTTGAAATTATAGAAAATAAGTTTGTACTTTAGTCCTTATATTCTCAACAATTTTATGATTCACGTGACTCTAGAAATTTGCAAACTGTTGTGAAAGGTTCATGCATCAAACTACATTCTGCGGAAAATATGCAAATTGCTTTCTTCCATTAAATGACTGGAAACATTACTACATTTTGGTTCTTGGACTCGCTAATTAAGAGGAAAAATTAATTGTCTTGATGATTGTAAACTTCTCATGAAGTTGAAGATTGGAGGTATTTGCTTCAGACGAAATAAAATCGTCGGACTAACCATCCCCAAGTTGCCATAATTAATCAAAACAAAATAGAATCTGCAAGTCAACTATATTGATCAAAGTTAATTGCATGATCTATATACATATAATATATATTAGAAGGTTTTTTTTTTTTAATTTGATACAGGTAGATAATTCATCATCTAATTAATTAGAATCATCAAGGATCATACTTGATGCTATGGTCATATTAATCTTTTAGAATTACCACATCTCTAATATAAAGCACAAAATATTATATGCTTGTAAAAAGTACTGGTATTGGTCCCCAAAAAATTATTAAGGAAAATCCCAAACTTTTTAAGAAATAAACGAGAGGAGAATTCATGAATTATTGACATTTTTACCACAAAAAAAAAAGAAAAAAAGAGGAGGAAAACAACATACTCTTAAAAGGCATAATAAATTATTATAGAAGTTGAGCAAGTTTAACTACTGTTATAAAAGTAAAATAAGCATGATTTTTTATTTCAAATTTCTTTTTTATTTTAAATAAAAATTTAAAAAATGATTGAAAATATGTATATGAGAATTTTGAATACAAATTAATTAATGAATTATTAACACGAGTCCAAATGTAAATAGTTGGGCATATGTGTATTAAATTTTGTATTTATTATTTTGAATTACTTTTAAACAAGTTGGATATTGGGTATTCAAATAAAAAATCCAACCTGGCCAATGAATAAGTTGGATTGTTCTTATCTAATCCAATAAAACCCATAACCCAATTGACCCAACCCATCCTTTAAAATTAATGGACGGGTTGGATAGGTTGTTGGGTTTTGGGCTTTTTTGCCAGCTCTACATCAGTTTATCAAGATTCTGATGCCATGTTCTTCTGTAACATGCCTAGTATTATGGATTTCTTGTTATTATGCCTTTCTACTTCTCGATCTCTTTGCTATTTTCGCTCATCAAATTATTTTCGCTCATCATGGAAGATTGATTTAGGGAGAGCCGTCCGGTTACAGGAACACTTTTTTTTTTTCTTTTTTTAAAAAGAGAAATCGATTTTATTGCCTCAAAACAGTCCTTGAGGAGAACATAAGCCTGACCTCAACAATACAAGCTAGCAACGAGACACCTACTTACTTAACTCAACGTCGCCGAATAAACGGGTACAATAGTTTATCCAACCGATATTCACCTCTAACTACACCTGGCCGGTTACAGGAACACTCAATTTTCTGAAACCAAAGGATTTGAAGCATTAGTTCCTGATCAGCGTACGTGTGGCTTTTGTTCACGGTTTTCTTTTGCAGTTATTATTTTTTGGGCTACAAACACCTAACGAAGTAATTCCCGTTGCTAAATGTGTTACCTCACAGAAAGAAACTTGAACGCTTGTTAACAAAGTTCAGGGTTTGGAAGCTTTATACCCTATTAACAACTTTTAAGGTTTGGAAGCTTTACAATGTTCTAAAATTGCGAGGTTTCTGACTATTTCACTTGTTTCTTTTCAAATTTTAAAAATTATACTAACCTCTCTTGAGATTTATTGTCTAGTAATATTTAGGTCCAACCAACAATTAAAAAGTAATATTAGAAGAGAGAAAATAATATAATTCTACCATTACTCCTCATCTAATAAATTGTTTAATTAATCTAATACCAATTCAAACATTAAAGAAAACACTAAAATTTGTTGTTTACCAACAGGGATTAAATCACATATGACATAAAAAATAACATATCATTCTATTACTTAATGTAAGATCTAAATTGCTCTTTTCAGTTACAAACCCATTATCAAACATGATCAATAACAAATAATCAAATAAAATTTTAACCAAAATATTACAAGGAGCGAATTTTAATACCATCAAAATCTTAACAACTAACTTTTAATATGTTGACAAGAATATTTATAATGTTAAAGTTTGTTCTCTGTAATATTTTGATTGCAAATTTTTTGATTATTTGTTATTGATCATGCTTGACAATGGATATGTAACTAAAACGAGTAATTTGGATCATGTATTAAGTGAAAAATAGAGTAATTTTTTGATGTTACATGTTATTTGATCCCTAATGATAAACAACAAATTTTAGTGCTTTTCTTTAAAGTGTGGATTGGTATTAAATTAATTAAATAATGTAGTAGGTGATGGACAACGATGGAATCATATTATCTTCTCTTTCTTAATATTATTTTTTTAATTATAGATTAGGTCTAAATGTTACAAGATTATTGACCTCAAAGGAAGTTGGTGTAATTTACAACATCTGAAGGAATGCTAGTGAAATAGTCAGAAACCTTGAGGTTTCTGAAATTATCCCTTCTAAAATTAATGATCCATATGATCATATCTGATTCTCATGAATTGCATCCATTCCTCCTTGACTGCATTCCTATCATTATTATTGTTTAATAAATTTGAAGAATGATTCCATTTATTTTCTCTTTGAAAATAGTTTGAAAAAAAAAAAATAAAGTAAAAGCATCAATAACTTTTTGTTTCCTATATTTTTTTCCTTTTCTTGCATCCCAAAATATAATTATTTTTGGCTAACATGATCCCAGATAGCTAATGTATTATGTTATGATTTTACTTGTTAGATAAAAATAATATTTTATAATATTTCCTAATTTTATTAATTTTTTGTGATAGTATATGTATATATATATATAGAGAGAGAGAGAGAGAAATTCCACAGTCCTTTTATTGTATACACACAGACATGTATGAATATTGAAATTTTGTAGCATTATTGTATAATTTATTTTTTATATATTAAAAAAATTAAAATTTGTGGGGCTTACGCCCGTATTTCGGGGCTTTTAACACCTTTGCTTTTTAAAGCATTTAGCCAACCTCTGTACAAGAATATTGGCGAAGAAGAGCAGCTAGCAGTCAAATTATTCTTTGCCCAACTTTTGTTTTAACCCTTCTTTCGATGATATTAGGAGCCTCCTCCTTTTTATTTAAAAAATCTTAGATGACTGTATTAAATAATGAGAATTTTCAATTTGGAAGTGTAAACTTGAAATGCATAACAATAATAATATAATGTCTTTGGCAGATCACATTCTTAACTTTGGTGGCAAAGACATGAGATAAAAGCAGTTTTTTTGTTTTTTGTTTTTTGAGTAAATAAGACTTTTTAAAGTTCATAACACAAAAAAAAAAATATTTATACTTCTCGAAGGGCACAATGAGATTACATTCGTACTTAAAACTGCTTTACTAATTATATAACATAAATTATGTCTACACTCTAAAATAATTCTCTGACACTTGATCACATTCATTGCTTCACGTAATCAAATGCTAGAATAGGAGCTTCTTTATTTTATTTATGTCCAGAAAGCATTTCCCGGGCTGTAAACACAAACTACAACTCAAATCCCACGTGTATTTGATTTCACATTTTACCAAAATAATAATAATAAAAAAAAGGATATGATTTCGGCCAGTAGATACATATTTGTCATGTTTATTGGCGCGAAATCATGGTACAATGCATCATAAACTTAAGTGCGCTTAACATTTAGA